ACCATTGTATAACCGGGAGAACAAGGTTCAAATTCTTGCTGAGCCTTAACTTTGGAAACCTTAACTTTGGCCAAGTCACACTTTCTCAGCCTCAGAGGAGACAAGGGCACTGACCCCCCCCCCCCAAACAAATTCTACCAAGACAAACCTCTGATACATTTACCCTAGAGTAACAATAAGTCAGGAATATCTTGAAGGCATACAACAACACAAAACAAGCTACCAGTCAACGGATGTTTTAAACCAGTTTTTAATACTCTCCTTAAAAAGACCAAGATTCTCTGGAATCCAGATTATTTGTAATAATAATAGAATAATAAAGTTAATTAATATCCTGCCACCATCTCCCCAAAGGGACTTGGGGCAGCTTACAAGGAACTCCAAGTCAGCATATAGGAAAAGGTAAAGGTTTTCCCCTGACATTAAGTCCAGTCATGTCTGACTCTGGGGTGTGGTGCTCATCTCCATTTCTAAGCCGAAGAGCCGGTGTTGCTCATAGATGCCTCCAAGGTCATGTGGCCGGCATGATAGCATGGAGCGCCGTTACCTTCCCCCGGAGTGGTACCTATTGATCTACTCACATTTGCATGTTTTCAAACTATTAGGTTGGCAGAAACTGGGGCTGTCATCAGAAGCTCACACCGCTCCCCAGATTTGAACCTGCAACCTTTTGGTCAACAAGCTCAGCAGCTCAGCAGTTTAACCCACTGCGTGACCGGGGCTCCAAGTGCTGCATATAACATTTATTATTAATATGAGTCTCCACTGCCATAAACCAGTTCAAAGCAGATAATCTGGATTCAGAAACTGGATTATATGTAGATGGTGTAGATTGGACCTAAGACAATACATTATTTCAAGAAGCTCTATCCTGACTTCAAGAAACATTGAGGCTGAGGTTATCATATCTCCATTCACTTTGGGGCTGAAAGATTTTGGGGGCTGCCTCAATTTTAATTTAGCACTACTGTAAATAGGCTAAAACATAGGAACTGTGCTGGATTACACTGCACATCTAGTCCAGATTCTGGTCCATTAATGATCTAATAGAAATGTCTACAGGTAGAATATGACCAGAACAGCACACTTCCCCAGCCAATGATATTCAGAGGCATATTGTGTCTGATCCTGGAGATAATATATTCTCATCATAACTAGCATTCATTGTTGGCCTTGTTCTTCCTTATGAATTTGAATAATCCCTTTTTAGAACTGTCCAAAGCAGATGGTCTATACCAGGGGTCCTCAAACTATTTAAACAGGGGGCTAGGTCACAGTCCCTCAAACTGTTGGAGGGCTGGATTATAATTTGAAAAAAAAAACCATGAATGAATTCCTATGAACATGGCACATATCTTATTTATCTAAAAAAACACTTAAAAACAATACAATAATTAAAATGAAGAACAATTTTAACAAATATAAACTTATTAGTATTTCAATGGGAAGTGTGGGCCTGCTTTTGGCTGAGGAGATAGGATTGTTGTTGTTCTTGTTGTTGTTGTGTGCTTTCAAGTTGTTTTAGACTTAGGTTGACCCTGAGCAAGGGCCATATCCGGCCCCCACGCCATAGTTTGAGGACCCTTGGTCTATACTATGCATTGGTCTATACTATCCATTGTGGCAAACATTTTCATGTTTTCCCCATTACTATTTGCCTCAGGAATAATTCAGTAGGGATAGTCCATCAAGTTCTAGCAGCCCTTCTCCAGTACTCCATTATGCTATATGAACAGATCTGCTCAGGACAGAGACAAGAAGAGACCCAGCAGCCGTGAGACATTTAGAGAAGGAGCAAATGGTGATGGCCCCAAAATTTCTCAGTCTCTTCCCCTCCTGCAGGCTTAGGGAGCATGAGGCCATGATAGGGAAGTTTGAAGAGACAGCAAGGGGGTCATTAAGACTAGGGGGTCCACCAGCTTCCTTGCTGATAATAAGATCTGTATAATGTTGTCACACTCCTAAATTGCACCACCAAATTGCAACACTTGATTTGTTTGTAGAAGAAAAAAACCCAACCTTTCTTCCATTTGGCTGTCATTTCCTTATCATTATAATATATCTTGTTAAACTGTAATTGACTTAATTGATTGATGCTCTGGGAACAGTGCCAGAAAGAAAGAGGTATGGAATGAATTGCCACAACTGAGCAGTCAACAACAGCATTTAAAATTTGGCTTAAAATGTAAAGTTTACAGATGTCTAGCACAAAAGCACCAGGAGTTACTTGTCTGAACTAAGGGTGAAGTTATCATAACTCTAAACGTTATGCAGAAGTGTAAAGTTATAGCCTTTGGGATTTCCCTAATGCAAGTCAACAGAGATGGTCCATAATCTAGATCAGGGGTCCTCAAACTAAGGCCTGGGGGCCGGATGCGGCCCTCCAAGGTCTTTTACCCGGCCCTCACTCAGGGTCAACTTAAGTCTGAAATGACTTGAAAGCACACAACAACAACGATCCTACTCATCAGCCAAAAGAAGGTCCACACTTCCTATTGAAATACTAATAAGTTTATATTTGTTAAAAGTGTTCTTCATTTTAATTATTGTATTGTTTTTAAGTGGTTTTGCACCACAAATAAGATATGTGCAGTGTGCATAGGAATTAATTCCTTTTTTTTTTCAAATTATAATCCGGCCCTCTAACAGTTTGAGGGACTATGACCTGGCCCTCTGTTTAAAAAGTTTGAGGACCCCTGATCTAGATTCTTGACTCTTGATTTAGAGATTGGACTGGGATGGAAAAGAATGGGCCTAGATCAGCAGATACTGAGAACGGCGGTCAACAAATGCAATAAATAAATAAATAATAAATAAATAAATACTGAGTCTAGCCATATTGAAATCAACAGCAAGCACCCAGCCTTGAATAAGGACCCTAAACAGGATGATGTATGAGAAATATCTTTCAACTGATTCTTGTCCTTGCTCCACACATTTCAGATCTTGCAATAATACACATGCTTGTTTGAAGATGAGAAGGACTCGTAAAGTATTGGTAGAGACCTTGGCAGCCTAGGTCATAATTCCAAAGTGGTAAAAACTGCCTTTCAACCATTCTAGCTCAATGGATTAGAGCACTGGTTCCCAACCTGTGGTCCGTGGACCACCAGTGGTCCCCAAGAATGAAAATGTGGTCTGTGACCTCACAATTGGTACACTGTTGTCTTGAAACCACGTGGCAATGACAGTGACTTGTCTCGCAAAACCCTCTTATAATGCTGAGGCAATGGGGATATCGGATGGGGAGAGGCTGACTACCCATGAAAGATTACTACTACCACATCAGCTATAGATTATTAAATGTGGTCTTCTGTGGACAAGCAGATGGTGACTTCTGAATGGCACATGTTCTGTATCAGAAACTAGAGCTGATGTGGTCTATCCAATGCAATTTTTTGAATCAACACCCCAAATAACCAAACTGAATCTGGTCCCTTAATGTAGTAACTCTTTTGGTACTAATTTTGGAGAGCAGTCCCTGGTCAAAAAAAAGGTTGGGAACCACTGGATAAGAGAAACCTTAATTCAAAGCTTCCAGTGAGCCACAAAGCTTACTCACATCCCATATTTGCTATGGGGATGCAAGCCTATAGAACGGTAGTTCTCAACCTGTGAATCCCCAGAAATTTGGGACTTCAACTCCCAGAAATCCTAACAGCTGGTAAACTGGCTGGGATTTCTGGGAGTTGTAGGCTAAAACACTTGGGAGACCCACAGGCTGAGAACCACTGTTATAGAAGATGGATAGAACTATTGGTAGATCAGCTATTTTACTCCATGGCAAAGGATTCCTAGTCCAAAAGACCACCTTCTGATTCAACCGAATTTGACAAATCCAGCCAGAATCAGTTTGCTTCCTGTGTTGTATGAAAGAGAAAATGACTTCCTCCTCCTATTCTACCTGTAGAAACTATGTTGATGGACAGCTGTATACTAGCCCCCCCCCTCACTCTTCTAGAAAACATACTACACATATGTGTGTGTGTGTGTGTGTGTAAAGGTAAAGGTTTTCTCCTGACATTGAGTCCAGTCGTGTCTGACTCTGGGGTGTGGTGCTCATCTCCATTTCTAAGCCGAAGAGCCGCCGTTGTCCGTAGGCACCTCCAAGGTCATGTGGCTGGCATGACTGCATGGAGCGCAGTTACCTTCCTGCCGGAGTGATACCTATTGATCTACTCACATTTGGATGTTTTCAAGCTGCTAGGTTGGCAGAAGCTGGGGCTGACAGCAGTAGCTCACGCTGTTCCCCGGATTTGAACCTGCGACCTCTCGATCAACAAGCTGTACACACACACACACACATTCAAAGGTAGTCATCACCACAAAAGGCAGCCTTCTATGAACTGATGATGTCCCATGAATTTCATAAGGTTCCTCTTAGGCAGGGAATATTCAGAGGTAGTTTTGCCAGTTCCTTCCTCTGAAATAGAGCCCACACTACCTGATTTGTTGGGAGTCTCCCATCCAAACACTTACCAGGGCTCAACCTGCTTGGCTTCCAAGATAAGGAAAGAGCCCTCATAGGGCGGCAATGACTTTCCTGTAACATACCTTTAATTTCTCTTCCATAAATAAACCCCATGCCTTTGGTCCCTATGAAAAAATATATGCAAGTTTCCAAAGGAAAGCAAGGGCGACCCTTGAGGAGAGGCGGGTGTGCCTGTCTGTGTGAAAGTGTTGCAGTGGAGGCCCAAACCTGATCCCCGGCCAGACTCCAGTATCCCAAGAGGGGCGCTCAGGGAGTCAAGCCAGGGGGAAATCTATGGGGAGGGGGGAGGCTGTGAGGAGAGACTTTGCCCCGCTTTCTCTCCGGGGGGGGGGGGGGGGTGGTGGTGGCTGCGAGAGACCCTCTCCTCCTCTCTTAGGAAGGGCACCCCCTCCTGAGCTAAGAAATCACACACAGGACTCTCCACTCTGCATTGCCTTGCTTCCCTCTGCCTCGAAGTTTGCGGTTCTCAACTGGGGAAGACAGCAAGCTCTGGACCCTCGCTCCACTCAGTAGGAGGAGAAGAAGCGGGGCTCCGACAGCAGAGCCTCTTGGGACTTCGGGGGAGTTCGGGAGGCGTTGCTGGGAAGGGAAGGAGAAGAGGAGGAGGAGGAAGCCCCCTCCTCCTCTCTCCTCCCGCTGGCCCCCTTCCTTGGGCTCTCCTGGGCTCCGTCTGGGCGAACCCCGGCCCTTGTGCGTGTGTGTGTGTGTGTGGAGGCAGAAGAGCCCTCCTCTCCTTCTCGCCGAGAGGCCGGGCAGAGCCCCTCCTCTGGAGCGCTGACGGTACTAATAATGATGGGTGGCGGTGGCGGACGAGCCCGCAGTTGAACTTGCGAGGCAACGCGGAGGGGGCTTCTTGAACGCCGGGAGGAGGAGGAAGAAGAGAAAGAAGAGAGCCGGCCCAGAGCCCACTACTTCCAAGCGGACACCAGTCAGGTGTTTCCCCCACTGAGGAAGAGTAGAGAGAGAAGGGGGCAGGGCAAGGAGGAGGAGGAGAAGAAGGACGACGCGGGCGACCTCCAGCCTCTCTCTCTCTCTTCGCCCCGAGGCCAACTCTGGATTAAGCCTCTCGCCCTGACGGTGGGGCTCCTGCCGCTTCCCGCCCCCTCCCGCCCCCTCCTCGGGGTCTCAGCTCCTGCCTGCCACTGCTTTGGAAGGTAAGGCTTCACTCCTTCCTTTGCTCCTGAAGCAATGGTCCACTCCCCGCCTTTATGTTCAGAGTTCGCCTGAGGAGAAGGAAGAGGGGACGGCGGGGGGCGGGCACCCTGTGTTTGCTCCCCAGGCTTTGCTAAAGTGATGTCCCCCCTTCCTGCTTTTGTGTTCGGAGGGGGAAGGCAGGGGCACCCCCTTTTTCTCAACCCCCCCGAGGTCTGAGACTGGGGTCCACCTGGAAGACAAAGAGTTTCTTTGTAAGGAAGGAGGCGGGATGGGTTCTGGTTCTCGGGGCTCTTGGGTCATTTTTCTTTGGAGGGCAGAGAACAAAGAGAGAGGGCCCTCGGATGGAGGGAGCGCTTGGGTGTGTGGCCTGAGGAGGCAGGCAAGGGGAGCGGAAAAGTGGGGATGAGGGGGTCGCGGGGAAGGGGCGGCGCGCCAAGGGTTACATGGCCCGGCGGAAAAGTCTTCTTTGTGGGGCTTTGGGAGGCACAAAGCGGCGCTGGAGGAGGAGGAGGAGGAGGAAGGGGGCGGTGGCTCTCAGGTTGGGGCTACGAAGGGGACGAGGCGGGAGAAGGTGACTCCATGGGGGATTCCTGGGAAGCAGCCTCTCTCCTCTTTCTTCTCCAGGTCGGGAGGTTGGTAGTTGGGGATCCTGCTGACCCCCTATTCAGACACAATTCTTCCCGGAGAGCTGCCCAGACCCCCACCCACCTAGCCAGCCAGCCCGCCCCCTCTCCCCTACATCTCTCTCCAGCCGGCCTTAACTGGTCTCAGGGAACCTTTCCATCTTCGTTTTTCCTTGGCCGTCCTTTCCAGCCTCTTCCTCTCTTTCTTTCCCTTTGCCTAAGACTACTAATGTGGGACTTTGAACGGGCGGGGAAAGCTCAAATGAAGAAAGCCGGCGATGCAAACCGCTTTGGTACAGGCTTCTGGTTGAAAACTTTCGAAAAGGCGCCGGAGATCTTTCTCGTTGCGCCTCTTCATTCATTCACTTTGCTTCCCGTCTCTAGCTCGAGTTTTGAGAAACAGACTCGGAAAAGTTGCCGGGAGAGATTTCTGGCTTAGACTGAAAGAATAATTGAAAGAGAGAGAGAGAGAGAGAAAGCCTACTTGCTCAAACCCCACTCTCTCAAACATGAGGTTTGAAAGAGGAGTCGGGGAGGATTGGAAAAAGCTTTGTGGGAAAGTTGCCGGGAGAGTTCTCTGGCTTGGATGGGGGAAAGACGCACATCTGCACACCCGCAAGCAGCCTGACCTACTGATCCAGATTGCAAAAGGTTTCCTTCCCCAAAAGGGACCCAAAAGTCCGTCCAAAGCGGAGCGAAGACTTGGCAAGATGGGGGAGGGGGGGGGAATGGGGTGGGTGTGGCGCTGGAGGAGAAGCAGGGGGCGGAGAGCCATTGGGGAGAAAGAAAGGAAGAAAGAGTTGTGGGGTGTTTCTCTCTCTCTGTGTGTGTTTGGGATTTGAGCAAAGGAAGTCTTTGCTCCACTCTAAAATCATAACAGTAAAACGACACTCAAACTCAAGACAGGAAACAATCAGGAACAGCTAATCACCTCTCAACAAAGGATTCCCCCAGGCAGTAACAAACCACACCTCAAAACTGCCAGGCCCTCAAATGCTAATCAAGGTGGCCAACTGAAACATTCACACCTATCTCCAACAGACGTTTTTTCTCCCGCCCTGGACATTCCACAGATATAGAAACCCAACTTTCCTAGTTTCCAACATATCCCTCAACCTCTGAGGATGCCTGCCATAGAGGCAGGCGAAACGTCAGGAGAGAATGCTTCTAGATCATGGCCATATTGCCCGAAAAACCTACAACAACCCAGCCACGAAAGCCTTCTTGTTTTGTCTGCTTCCACCGGCCTTGGGAAGAGGGTTGAGTGGGTGTGTTTTTTGCCAAGTGGGATCCTTTCCTTTCGACGCGTCTGCCTCTTTCTGGAGTTTTGTGGCAGCCAAGGGGATTTCTGCCTGGCGGGGCGGGGAGAAACCGGGAGCCAGGAAGACAACGTCTCAAGGCAAAGAGAGATGGGAAACTTCACCAGGATCCAAAGTGTCCGAAGACATGCCGCGGGAAAAGTCGAGGTTCTCGTCATCAGCTGTGCAAGGCACCGCTTTCCTCCAGCACAGCTGTTTTCTTTTTAGACAGACCTCGCCTCCCTCCGAACCCACACTATAGAATGGTGTCTAACGCCACTTTCATAGCCACAGGCTTTTGCTATGGGACTCTGGGCCCCTCCAAAGTATCCCCCTTTTTCAGAGGAAGACCTGGATTCCTCGATTTCGGGCTCCTGGCCAAGAGATGCCCCGAGACGGGCAGTGCGCGCTCTCAGCCAGGACTGAGCCCGAAATCGAGGAATCCGGCGGTTTGGGATGGAATCGGGGCGCCCCCTACTGGGCAAGCAGCGTGGAAAGAAAAGTTCACTCAAGCAAGGAAGATGCCTCCATTGGTCGGGATTACCCTCCCCCTCCCCCCCCCCGGAGAAGGAGAGGGGGGCAAGGCGATAACATTGGGAGGTGCTTCCATATTGTCCCTTTAATGCAGTTTGAAATTACTCAATGCGATGAAATCCTGGGAATTGTGTTTTGATGAGTTCTTCTGCCTTCTCTGCCCCAAACTCCTGGTGCCTCCTCAAACAAAAGTTCCCAAGATTGCAACCCCAAATACGCATGCACCCTAGTAAGTTGAGTCGCTTCCCCCCTCCCTTTCTACTTCCATTTTCCTCTCTTTGTGTCTGAAATGAGGGCCCAGGTTTTCTGACCAAGAAGGAATCTCTCTTTCTGGGTGTGATCACATGAAGACAGTTAGTGAGAAAGTCACTTCAGGCAGTAGAAATTGAGGCTATACTGGGTTGCTGTGAGTTTTCCGGGCTGTATGGCCATGTTCCAAAAGCATTCTCTCCTGACGTTTTGCCCACATCTATGGCAGGCAACTTCTGAGGTTGAGGGGTCTGTTGGAAACCAAGCAAGTGAGTTTTCTGGGCTGTATGGGGGGTCTGTTGGAAACCAAACATGGCCATATAGCCCGAAAAAACCCACAAGAACTGAGTGATTCCGGCCATGAAAGCCTTCGACAACACATCAAGCAAGTGAGATTTACATATCTGTGGAATGTCCATGTTGGGAGAAAGAACTCTTGCCTGCTTGAGGCAGTTGTTAATGTTGTAGTTTGGCCTTGATTAACATTTAATTGCCTTGCAGCTTCAAAGCCTAGCTGGTTGCTGCCCGAGGGATCCTTTGTTGGGAGGTGTATTCTGGCCCTGATTGATTCTTGTCTGGAATTCCCCTGCTTGTTGGGTATTCCTCTTTATTTACTGTCCTGATTTTACAGAAATGCTGGACCACTCTAACAACTAGCATGTCAGACTAGACAGAGAAGCCATTGAAATCCACAAGCATGTGGACAATTTCAACAAGAAGGAAAAAACCATGAAAATGAACAAAATCTGGCTATCAGTATTTTTAAAAAATTCTAAAATCAGGACAGCTGCAACATTTACACCTGTCTCAAGCAGTCTTTCTCCCACTCTGGATATGCCACAGATATATAAACCCCACTTGTCTAGTTTCCAACAGACCTCACAACCTCTGAGGATGCCTGCCATAGATGTGGGTGAAACATCAGGAGAGAATGCTTCTGGAACATGACCATACAGCCCAGAAAACTCACAACAACCCAGTGATTGCAGCCACGAAAGCCTTCGATAACACATTGAGGCTATACTGATGGTGGAAGCTGCTCCAGACATTTGTCCTGAGCCTGTATACCAAGCATGGGCAAACTTCCTGCCCTCCAAGTGTTTTGGACTTCCAAAATCCCAGCCAACTTACCAGTTGTTAGGAATTGTGGGAGTTGAAGGGCCAAGTTTGCCCATGCCTGCTCTATACAGTGCACAAAGTTATTAGGTGTGTTTAGGTCAACTCTGACTTATGGCAATCCTACTCTACTTTGTTCAAAACTGGTTTGACTTTGCATTTCTTTGAGAAAGTGAGAGATGCCAAGGTCATCTAGGGGTCTCCATAGCTCAGCAAAAATTCAAACCCTGGTCTCATGAAAAGTCCTAGAGCCACTCAAATCTCCACACCAAGCTGGGTCCCATTTCTTTTAAACCTGCTGTGGTTGGATTTTTTTTTTTTTTTTGTATCAGGAGTGACTTGAGAAACTACAAGTCTCTTCTGCTGTGAGAGAATTGGCTGTTTGCAAGGACGTTGCCCAGGGGATATCTGGATGTTTTACCATCCTGTGGGAGGCTTCTCTCATGTCCCCACATGAGAAGCTGGAGCTGACAGACAGGAGCTCACCCTGCTCCCCAGATTCAAATGGCCGACCTTTTGGTCAGCAGTCCTGCCAGCATAAGGGTTTAACCCATTGCACCACTGGGGGCTCCTTCAGAAATATTGTGCTCCTTTGCTTGGTTGATATGGCAGACTTGGTTTGTTAGCAAGTGGGTGGAAGAGCACACCATTTGTTGTAGAATGCTTTTGAACAGCTGTCCAAACTTGTACTGGACACATAGAAACTCACAATGTGAAAAGGATAATGAGCCATTTTTAATTTCACTCTACTCATGCAAAGATACTTAAGGGCAGAAGAATGCTGCTGACCTTGGGGAGGCCCAGTTGCCAGGTGAAAAGTCTAAGCGGCTGAGGGGGGAAATGAAAGGGCCCGAGGCTGTTAGGAATGGTGGGAGTTGAAGTCCAAAACACCTGGAGGGATCAAGTTGGGGCCCATGCCTGGTGTAGATGCATCTTGAAGCGTCCTGCTCTGCTGGAACTGCTGCTGGAGCTGGCTCTGCTCCTGTCTCCAAGGCAGGTTTCCTTGCAGAGAGAGAGAGAGAGAGAGAGAGAGAGAGAGAGAGAGAGAGAGAGAGAGAGAGAGAGAGAGAGAGAGAGAGAGAGAGAAAAGCCCCTTCCCCTTTTCTTCCCAGCAGCATCTCGGATGGTGGCGAGGGCGGACGTGCGCCCACTCTCGTGCCTTCCTCTGTGTGTCAGAAG